CTTTAAAAACCTGTAATTCATACTTATACTTACCCCTTATAAACTTTTCCAAATTTATATAACATAATATCCTCTTAAAGATTAAGCTGATCAAGACCTTACTTTAACATAAATAACAAGCCATATAGCTATAACTATAACAGCAAAGGCTTCACGTCAAAAATTGTTGAAAATAAATTAATAAAGTTGATAGAGCGTAGATATGATGTAGATAGGATATTATACAAAAATATATTGAATAGGAGCTCTAATAGCTCCTGCAGGATATACCCTATACTTCAATTAACCCATAATAAGCCAGAGGCTGTATAAGCTCGAGGATATAAGGTATCTATATCCTAAAAAATATAATAGGACGATTAGGTAAAAAAATTACTATAAATAATTGCTTAACAATGGTAACGCGTACGATGAGGTTATAAGCCTAAAGAATATATATTATTTATATGAAGCTTTATGGAAATAATTTTTGAAGAACTATGTATAGAACTTGAACTGATCAGGCAAGAAAACAACTCCTGAAAACCTATTTATATCCAAAAGAACGTGTGTAAACCTTAGAAGGGGGGGGCGGGCCAACAGGGACCTTCAGGGTAGCTCCTATTACCTAATCACATTACCCCGGTTCAATATCAAATTAGGTACTTAAATGAACAGGCCAGATTTTCAATAAGAATATTTCTCTTTGATTAGATTCGTGTCATAGTCGGGAGCTGGTCTCTTCAAGACAACCATAATTTCTAAGATCCAATTGCTCAAAATAAGTCTTAGTTATCATTAAACATCCAGCTTACATCTCTAATATGAGAATAATTACCATCATAAACTATTATACAGCAATCATAAGTCTCTACGTATAGATTAAGGAGGTATGATAAATTGTTTGTTTTAGACTATATTTGACTCTGGTCGTCGTATCATTTTTAACAGTGAAGCAGGGAGGTTCCAAGGGTTATAAATCTATTACTAGATTGGATCGATTATATTCCCTGTTATTTTACATCAATAGGTTAATCGTGAAACATCCGAACTCACCGAATGGATCAACCAGATACTGGAGGATATAATTAACCTCACCCCGAACGGTGTAGGTCGGGAATACCGCCTCCATGCAGTCATATTATATGTAATAAAGTAAGTTTCGTTATTCGTATACTTTTATCTCGTGGAGCTATACTACATTAAGGTGGAATCGGTTGTAACATTGCAGATACTGGCATCCGTATCGCCGCAAGGATAACTGGTGGCTTGCCCATTTGCACTTCAAGTTTGCTGATAATTACCCTTAAATCGATGACTCTTCGCATTGACAAGTCAAACACGTGAAGATTTAGGTATAAACATTGATTTGGCTGGATTTCGCATGGTAGCACCATTCTACGCCCTTATAGCGTTTACCTAGCATACGTTAAATTGAGGAAGTTCGCGATGCGACGCTACATCTCATCTGACGGCTATCCAATTGTGTGGTTCCGGACGTCGAAATTCAGGCGGGCGTCATTCAGGTACATGTAAGGTTGGGTAGCATGAACCCTGGATGGGACGGCACGTTAATTAATTTGTGGTTAATGCGGCCCGGAACTACGAGCCCTTTTCCCCCTTCAGCCGCCCAAAACCCCATCGCCCTCCGGGAAAATACCATGCTGCTCACGTTAGGAGAGAAGATCTTCGACGTTTCGAGTGTTCTGAACCGAAGGCTTACCGCCGGCCAAGATGGGACAAGAATTCAATCTATTATCATCATGGAAGGCGGCAAGAAAATTCCTTGTCGTCCCTCTTTATCCCCTCCGTATATTACTAGATTTAGCATATCCGGGGTCTGCGTGACGCTGCCATGGGCCGGATGTTTGGGGACGAAAATCGCGTCGTGGGCTAGGACGCCCCCGCGAACGGTGAGTATGATCTTCGGACATGTCATATAAGGCTCTTAGGGGACCCTCGAGATCCTCTGCGAATCCCGAGTTGGCCTTGATGCTCTGTACAGTTTTGGACTCGGCTACCAACTATGAGGTCTCCTCTTCTTATTGCGACGTTCGCCACGGTCTCCGCGGCCGCTGCGCTCGACTGGGCGGCTGCTTATGAGAAAGCCAACGCTTCGTTAGCGAAGCTTTCGCAGAATGACAAGATCAACATCGTGACCGGAGTAGGCTGGAATAACGGGCCTTGCGTTGGTAACACGGCCCCGGCTAGCTCCATCAGCTATCCCCAGCTGTGTTTGCAAGACGGCCCTCTTGGTATCCGATTTGCTACGGGCAACAATGCCTTCGTCCCTGGCATCCACGTCGCTTCCACTTGGGATCGAGCCCTGATGAAGGAGCGGGGGCAGTTCATGGCCGAAGAGACGAAGGGATGTGGTATCCACGTTTTGCTCGGGCCCGTTGCTGGCCCCTTAGGTAAGAACCCGGCGGGTGGACGCAACTGGGAAGGATTCGGTGCGGATCCCTATTTGCAAGGTATCGCTATGGCGGAAACTATCGAGGGGATGCAGAGCGTCGGCGTCCAGGCTAATGCGAAGCATTACATTCTCAACGAGCAAGAGCTTAACCGTGAAACCATAAGCTCGAACATAGACGACCGGACGCTGCACGAATTGTATCTGTGGCCTTTTGCGGATGCCGTACACGCAAATGTCGCTTCGGTCATGTGTTCTTACAATAAGATCAATGGTACCTGGGCGTGTGAAAAGTAAGTTGTATCCGGCAAACCTATCCGTTTCTAAACTCGTCGCGGGCATTTTCTTTTCTTTTCTTTTCTTTTTTTTTTTTTTTTTTTTTTTTTTTTCGGGCGGTGGAGACCTTGTTTAGCATTATTAGAAGTATTAAACTGACGATCTCGCAGCCCATACGCTCTAGACACCCTCTTGAAGAAAGAGCTCGGTTTCCAAGGGTACGTTATGACGGATTGGAATGCGCAACATTCCACCGTAGAGGCCGCGACCTCTGGGCTGGATATGACGATGCCTGGGACTGACTTCAACGGCGGGTCCCAATACTGGGGTTCGAAGTTATCCCAAGCCGTGAGCAGCGGTCAGGTGCCGCAGTCGCGTCTCGACGACATGGTGCGACGAATTCTCGCCGCGTGGTACCTGCTAGGTCAGGACAGCGGCTATCCTGCGACCAACCTCAAGGCGAACGTTCAAGGCACTCACAAGACGAACATTCGCGCCACGGCGAGGGACGGAATCGTTCTCTTGAAGAACGAAGGAGATATTCTTCCCCTAAAGAAACCCGGAAAGCTTGGGCTCGTCGGTTCTGCTGCTGTTGTCAACCCCCAAGGAATTAACTCGTGTACCGACCAAGGATGCAATAGTGGTGCTCTCGGAATGGGTTGGGGATCCGGAACCGCCTCTTACCCGTACTTTGTGGCGCCTGCTGATGCAATCAAGACCCGGGCGGAAGCTGATGGCACGCAGATCAGCTTGTCCTCGTCCGACAGCACTAGTTCCGTGAGCTCGATCGTCGATGGGGCCGATGCCGCTATCGTGTTCATCACTTCCGACAGCGGTGAAGGGTATATTACTGTAGAAAACAACGCGGGCGACCGCAATAATCTCGACCCGTGGCACAACGGCAATGAGCTTGTCAAGGCGGTTGCAGCTGTGAGCGACAATGTGATTGTAGTCATACACTCGGTGGGCCCCGTTATCCTCGAGACTATTCTAGCCCAGCCGAACGTAAAGGCGATCGTTTGGGCCGGTCTCCCCTCTCAAGAAAATGGCAACGCTCTCGTAGACGTTCTTTACGGAGAGGTCAGCCCTTCGGGAAAGCTGCCTTACACTATTGCCAAATCTGCCGCTGATTATGGGACGAGCACTCTCCAAGGAAACGACGATTTTAAGGAGGGTCTTTACGTTGACTATCGCAAGTTTGATAAAGAAGACATTGTTCCCAGATACGAGTTCGGTTATGGTTTATGTAAGTTGGCTAGCCGTACTTCTCCTTCTGGAAAAAAAAATTTTAAAGAGAAATAAAAATCATTAACTAGAACTACTCCGCAGCGTACACGAACTTCACCTACTCCGATATTTTTGTTGATGGGCGGCCAACAGCGGGCCCCGCGACGGGAGATATCATTCCGGGAGGGCACGCCGACCTCTGGGAGATAGTAGTTACCGTCACTGCTACAATAACCAACACAGGATCCGCTAAAGGTGCCGAAGTAGCACAGTTATACCTAGTGTACCCGGAGTCCGCGGGCGAGCCGCCGAAGCAGCTTCGTGGATTCGAGAAGGTGGCCCTAGAGGCGGGTGCTGAGGACATTGTCTTCTTTGAACTCAAGAGACGAGATTTGAGTTTCTGGGATACAGAAAAACAGAACTGGGTTGTACCCTCGGGAGTATTCAACTTTACCGTTGGTGCAAGCAGTCGCGATATTCGGCTTAGCGGGACCCTGGAAGTGCCATGATAAAAAGGGGTTATAAAACTTCGTTCGTCTAACAATTTTATAGGTATATCGGCAAGTAAAAGAGTCATATTTCATGTAGATAGCTTATTAAGAGATGTTTTATTGCACTGTAACCCTGGGATTCCTAGACATTAAAGACATCATCCACTATCGACAGATGCTATGCTAAACACGACGGCTGGGCACTTTTGACTAAAGCTCGACGTTCAGATTGAATACAAAGATAAAAGCCAGAGGCGCTTATAGCGGCTTACTTATAGTGCGGTCAAGTCGTCATGTCTAACCTAGTTATATCTCCCTTTGCCAAAGGGCAATACTACAGCCCTTATTCAGGTATTCGTCTGTACTAGCGGTGCAGTTACTCCGTGGGTTCGAATGCCACATTATACGGAATTCCCATCTACGATACGATTTATATCGCCAAGTAAAGCACGCAACCGTGGCAAGATAACAAGCGTATTAATATTTACCGGCTCTCCCGTGTTATGGGTATTTTATATAGGGTATATTTCCGCTTTGAAGTTAAAGCTTTATATATGAGCACAGCCCACTGTAACACAACCAATCAGGTGTACCCTCTCGAGACAACCATCTCGTCCTCTGTGGCGCAATTGGCTAGCGCGTCGTAGGTTCAACACACTATGCCTTCATTAAGTATTATCGATTTACTAATTATATGTTGTAGTGACTGTTAATCAGGAGGTTGGAAGTTCGAGCCTTCCCGGAGGAGATGTCTTTTTTGTATTAAGCTTCTATTTTCGCAAAGCACTTTCAAAATCTAGATTGTCTCACTATGGGCCTATGGCACTACAGAGTTGCAAGGGGGCAGTTATTCTTGTCTAATTTGTATCCAAGCTATAGTATGCTTTACGTGCCATCTATGACATACTTATATAGCGAATATTGACTCGTAATGGTATTTAATTTTGACCTCGATAATGCAACTTGTGTGCTAATCAGATACCTAACTAGTACGGTAGGCGATTGAGTGATATTTTGCATGTTCGAGTAAGGTTGGTGGGTCGCAAAGATTTCGTTGCTTATTAAATTGCTATACTTCGCGGTCTCGTTGAACCCACTGGCTCATGTATACGAATCTGTACCTATTAATTATAGTTATAAGTACTCGAGTCGAACTACCTAATAACCAAACTGCGGGATAGATAATCATTGAACGTCCAATTATTCCTGGTTTATTTGTAGATAGGTGGGCATATAATCTACGTGTCGACGGTTCAAATCTTTGCATACAAGTGTGTCATTTCTATTATTGCCCCTTATTGCCCATTTTGAAAAACCTGGGCAAATATTATTCATGTGCACGACTTCAAATGATTGCAGCTTTCGTTTATTATTATTACTCCATCTGAGCTCAACTAGTTACATCACTTTAATATCTCGCTAGTTTCGTCAAAAGTCCTGGGATATCTCACCACGCAAGTGAATTGGGTAGTTCAGACATTCCGTCCAATATTACAAAGCTCCAAGGTGCCCTTCACAGCCTCGATACGCAGCATTGCTATAATACAATTACAGCTCGTTGAAAGAAAGAGGAGATAATACCCTTGCTCGTTATCGCATAGATTCCAAAGACCCATTCCCGTAGGATCGAGTTCAAGTTGACGTATTAACATATAACGTTCAAGCAACATCCAAAGCTTCCTACAAAGTAAAATACCTACGGACTCTTCTAGAGTCGAAGTAACTTTGTTCCTTAGATTTTATGGAAATAATCATCACAATCGCGGAACTTGGGGTCCTCAAAAAGTATGCGAAGAATTTAACAAGTACTTGGTCCAGAGTCGTAAGGGTAAGAATCAAATCCCCAAATACTGTCAACGCATAATACGCCTTGTTTCATTTATTCTGTCCTTCGGTTTGATTCGAATGCCCCGATAATAGAGTATGGTGGGCTGGATAATTAAGGTGACTGACTGGCTTGGAAGCCTCAAATCTAGCACATCATCCCGATCCGGCTCTAGGTAGATAATACACTTATTTATTCCGAATTATCCAGGCAGAGATTGCAATCGACCACGCTGTGTGATATACGTAAGCGCATTGCATTAGTTTGATCGCAGCCAGTGGATCGTCGCTATATAGTGCGAGTTTGGTCGTTGGTGAGTCCCCGTTACTTCAAGTTCGGCAGAGAAAGGGTTAGTCTGGTATGTCGTGGTTGAAGAGCTCTCAGAAGAATATTCTCGACAATTCATATAATGATATAATACGATACCGCCACAGCCGGAGGAACTAAAGAGATTAGCGTCTTCTAGCCGGGCGCCAGGGACCTAGCTACGTAGAGAAAGCTATTAGTACCGAGAACCCGGAACAACGACGAAGCTCTCGAAAAGTATTTCGTTGTCTTTTACCACGCTTACAAGCTTATTCCTGACTCGCTTGACCGCCAGGACTAGTCTTGCTATATTTAGCTAGATTGTCAAATAGTTCGATGTCGGCAAGTTATTAAAGCCCCCGAATAGGGTACATCTGTAGGCATGTACCTGGTGAGACGAAGGTGAAAAGACACCTAACGATACGTAGGTACGGATTAGTACTTCCCCTGCGGTACCTAGTAGTACAAGAGTCCCGCCTCCCTCCGTAGATCCCCCACTATTGACGTCTTATTGCGCCTCGGGAAGCTGGGCGGTCTCAACAAATCTTGCATAATGCACCTAACCCAACCCTATCTTACATGTAGTACACGTAGGTGTGTATATACCAAGGAAATCTCTTAAGGTTAATACTTCTTCTCGACGCGTCTACTTCATGTATATATAGGTACCTACCTACCCAGGTGCTATACTCGACAGGTCCGATGCCTCATAAGGTTCGTATAGCCCATAACCTTCTTTCATCGACAAGGCGGACTCTTTGTTCGGGTAATTTTCAGAGCAGCTTTCAGCGTGTACACGGTTCTCCGAGGTACTCGACCGTAGGCAGTGACGGCTGGCGCGCCATGTCTCATTCGGAGATGTCCAAATATCTTAAGCAGACGCACGACCGTGTGTTCGAACACAACCGTGCCTGGGCGGAGGAGCAAAAGAAGAAGGATCCCGAATTTTTCGAAAAGCTTTCCGCAGGGCAGACCCCGGAATATCTGTGGATAGGATGTAGTGATTCGAGAATCCCGGCTGAGCAGATCACCGGTCTAGGACCGGGAGAGGCTTTTATCCATCGCAACATCGCCAATCTGGTCGTCAACACCGATCTGAACGTCATGAGCGTTATCAATTACGCAGTTCGCCACCTGCAAGTCAAGCATATCGTGGTGTGCGGACACTACGGCTGCGGCGGAGTCAAAGCCGCCATGACGCCCAAGGACCTAGGGCTGCTTAACCCGTGGCTGAGGAACATCCGAGACGTTTATCGCCTTCATGAGAAGGAACTAGACGAGATCAAAGACGAAAAGGAACGCTACAACCGCCTAGTGGAACTGAGTGTCGTCGAGCAGTGCCGCAACGTCATCAAGACGGCCGCCGTTCAGCAGTCATACGCCAAGAATCAATTTCCCATCGTCCACGGGTGGGTATTCGGATTTGAGGACGGTTTACTCAAGGATCTAAAGGTAGATCACGAGGAGATGTTGCACAGCATCCAAAAAATTTACAATCTCACGGAGGAATGATTCGTCTCGCGTAGCAAAATGAAACGGGTATGGTAATGATATTCCATTAGTCGTAATTGCGGCGTCAGCCCGGCTCGCGTTGTCACCAAAGGACCAGGCTCATGTACCTTATTTATAAAGAATCCATAGAGCCCCGCGGCAATCTAACCAAAAGTTTACCTAGAATTAACGCCCGACACCCGTTACTTTTATTATATATTTGACCCTCGTACTCTTGGGCCCAGTCCATTTCTCGAGCCCGGTGCGTGCAAGTCCGAAACCATCAGGCCGTCTAAACCGAGCTCGTTTGTGCTCTATGGGGTAGGTGTCTCACCATATAGGCCCTCTATTTCGGTACCGGCGTACCCGGTTCCCGGACTGGGCGCTATGCGAAACCGCATTCCTCTCGCCTATTACTGACTGGAAATCAATCCAATCCCCGGCGGTGGGCCACCCTGAGCACCCGACTCCTAGGATCCTTCTGAGCCCGAGCGAATATTGGAGAATGGGTACCCATTCTCTAATGGATTCTACAGGGTGCAGAAATAAGGTTACTTGGCTGCGCTCGTCTTGCTATTCTCGGACTCCCAGAATCCGTGCTCGAAGCTCTTTTCTTGTCTGAATGCAAATCGTTCCCAGCTTACACCTCTTCTAACCTTATCGCCGTTCTTGTTCGTTTCGTAACGCCGCGGTTCAAAATCCATTACGGCCCGCCAGTTGCGAATCATTCGCCGCCAATAACAAGCCTCGGCAGCCGGCGTGAGATAAAGGTCCCGGAAAACCCTCGCCGACTCGGTTGCGATCTTCCGTGCCCGATCAGGATCCGCAGTAAGCCCGTCCATCTGCGCTTTCAGGTCCGACCAGTCGCGCCTTACCTTGACGAAATTCTGAGCAGCGTTAGCAGCATTCCACAGCAAGTGGGAAGCGTGGGAAGCGTGGGAAGCGTGGGAAGCGTGGGGAACAAACCTGATGTGGCCCGCTATCCTTTAGGAGAGGGTGATAGTGAAAGATATAGTTCAGTTTGTGAATGATTGGGACGCTTTCGCAATTTTGTAGATATCGCAACCGTCCACTCCATGAATTACCTTCGGTATGAGCGACGTATTTGAAACGGCAAAACTCCCTCATAGCCAAAATATTCGATCGGTTATGCCAATCGATAGCCTCGACATCGTCCCAATCGTAACCTTCTGAGGCTTTTATTAAGGCGGCTCGTAGCTTACGGTTCACAGCCAAGCTGCCCCGCCAGCATAACTTGTTCTCTTTGTCATCCCAGCCGTTGGGATACTCGGCCTCCAGTTCCGTCACATCCTCGCGGAATTGCACGTAGGACCCTACGCCCTCGTCGGGATAGCTCCATCCGTTGAAGTCGGGCATTACCCACAGCCACTGATTATCCTCTTCGCGTGCCCAAGTCCATCTGATGCGCTCCTCGTTCTTTTCTCCCCTGGATGCTCGGTCCTCGATATCGATGATGAACTCGACATTCGGAAGCGATCGAGGGTCCGGTATAGCGGTTATAGCGCGATACATGCTTGCGAGAGCTGCTAGGCCGCGGGAGCGATCCGGTTCGCCTTTCTTTTCCTGGATCACGTATAGCTCGCCGTTTGAGATCATGACGTGGAACTCGCCATGTGCAAGGCCTGTGTAGTCCTTTTTGGCGTCGATCTGCACGTCTGATTCTTTAACTCGTTTGTTTTGCTCCCGAAGAAAATCACGAGCGCGGTCAAGTTCTTGGTATAGATCAGGGAACGCTTTCTACGGCGGGATGAGCCTTTGTATGCTACCGACGACTAGAAATCTTAGATTGACACATACCTCGCATTGACCGTCGGAGAGACCATAGTTCAGACTGTCCCTTTTCGCATCAAAAACCCAGGTTTCGTCGTCGAGGGGCGAGGGTGCCGAGTGGGCTGGCTGCTCGACGGGCTCTCGTAGCGATTGATCAACGGGTTCTCGGGGCGGCGGCTCGGTAGGTTCATCGAACGGCTCTTCGGCGGGCTCTTGTAACGACTGTTCGATAGGAATTTCCAAGGACCGTCTCACGTTGCCGAAGAGCGAGAAAGCGGTCGCCAAGAAGAGGATCGCTAAGATCGGCCAGCGGAGACGCCGCAGGCGTGCCATAA